TAGCCGTCTTCCCGTCCTGGTGCCATCTCTTCCCCAGGTAAGTAACGCACACCCACCCAGCCCATCCACATGATGGAAAAGAAAATGTCATTTATCAAATCAGGCTACCTTCTTCCATGGCTCCATGCTCCAGTTCTGATGCTCACGTGCCCATTGTAGGCTCTTTTGGCTATGGACACGGGTTGCCCAAAGCATCACATTGTTAGCCGTCTTCCCGTCCTGGTGCCATCTCTTCCTCAGGTAAGTGACGCACACCCACCCGCCCGCCCATCCAATGATGGAAAAGAAAATGGCATTCATCAGACCAGGCCACCTTCTTCCATGGCTCCATGCTCCAGTTCTGATGCTCATGTGCCCATTGTAGGCTCTTTTGGCTATGGACACGGGTTGCCCAAAGCATCACATTGTTAGCCGTCTTCCCATCCTGGTGCCATCTCTTCCTCAGGTAAGTGACGCACACCCACCCGCCCATCCAATGATGGAAAAGAAAATGGCATTCATCAGACCAGGCCACCTTCTTCCATGGCTCCAGTTCTGATATTTATAAACGCAGAGTCTTCTCTGATTGGACAAGTACAGAGCGTGACGCCACTGCCCCACCTTTCCACCCTACGAATCAGGGAACGCTTTACATTCATTGAGAATATGCAAAGTGGCCTGTAATTGGCGCTTGTGCAAAGTGACTGAACCTAATTCCCAATGCAGCCGCTTGGCATGGGACCCGGGAGAACAGTAGAGATCACTGAAGTAGCGGTGTAGTAGCGCTGAATACGACGGCGATTTCCAGCTTCCAGGGGGGTCAACAGGTATGGAATTCACAGGGGTTGATTTAGTAAAGGCAAACAGACACTCAGAGCTCAGTAAATGAGGTAAAGCTTTAGTTTGCTAAGAACACCCAATCACATGCAAGGAATAAAAAACAATAAAAACACAAAAAACAAACAAACAAAAAGAAACTGAGCATTTTTGCTTGCACATGATTGGATGATGGAAGTCAGCAGAGCTTCCCCTCATTTACTAAGCTCCGGAGCAACTGCACTTTGCAGAGTGCACAGTCTATTTGCCTTTAGTAAATCCACCCTGTAGCTACATTGAGCTAAGGGATGTTATGTTCTCCACCTCATCCATACAGAGAATGCTTTGTAGTCATTGTGAAAATACAAAGGGTTCTCTATATGGCACCCATGCCGAGCAGCCGACCTCCTGTGTTCACAGTGCACCAGGCTGGCCACTCAGCACGGGGCCCAGAAGCTGGTGGAGGTCACGGTAGTAGCGGTGTAGTAGCGGTGTCTAATCCTGGGATATCGGCCAAGTATGTCATGTACTGTACAAAGTTACATTGTTCAAGGCTGGACCTGCAAAACCATACCTGGAATTCAGCTTTAACCAGTTCTTGCCCAGCCTACAGTCAAATGACGGCTGGGCGGTATATTCACAGTTCCAGGTGGCGGTGCGATCTTTTAACCGCTGTGTCATTGGTGGACTGGCTGCTGCCGGTACCATGTGATCACTGTGGCCAATCACAGCAGATCACATGACAGCTGTGCACAATGGATGGCTTTCATTCATGCTATGTATTGTGCGCTATTGTGTTGATCACTGTGATTGGTCATAGTGATCACTTGGTACAGACAGGGCTAATCACAGCCCATCTGTACCATGTGATCGCTGTGGCCAATCGCATGACAGCTGTGCACAATGGACGGCTTTCATTTAAGCTATTTATTGTGCACTGTTGTGTTGGTCTCTGTGATTGGTCATAGTGATCACTTGGTACAGACAGGGCTAATCGCAGCCCATCTGTACCATGTGATCACTGTGGCCAATCACATGACAGCTGTGCACAATGGACGGCTTTCATTCAAGATATTTATTGTGCACTGTTGTGTTGATCTCTGTGATTGGTCATCGTGATCACTTGGTACAGACAGGGCTAATCACAGCCCATCTGTACCATGTGATCGCTGTGGCCAAACACATGACAGCTGTGCACAATGGACGGCTTTCATTTAAGCTATTTATTGTGCACTGTTGTGTTGGTCTCTGTGATTGGTCATAGTGATCACTTGGTACAGACAGGGCTAATCGCAGCCCATCTGTACCATGTGATCACTGTGGCCAATCACATGACAGCTGTGCACAATGGACGGCTTTCATTCAAGATATTTATTGTGCACTGTTGTGTTGATCTCTGTGATTGGTCATCGTGATCACATGGTACAGACAGGGCTAATCACAGCCCATCTGTACCATGTGATCGCTGTGGCCAATCACATGACAGCTGTGCACAATGGACGGCTTTCATTTAAGCTATTTATTGTGCACTGTTGTGTTGGTCTCTGTGATTGGTCATAGTGATCACTTGGTACAGACAGGGCTAATCACAGCCCATCTGTACCAGGTAATCGCTGTGGCCAATCACATGACAGCTTTGCACAATGGACGGCTTTCATTCAAGCTATTTATTGTGTGCTATTGTGTTGATATCTGTGTTTGGTCATAGTGATCACTTGGTACAGACAGGGCTAATCACAGCCCATCTGTACCATGTGATCGCTGTGGCCAATCACATGACAGCTGTGCACAATGGACAGCTTTCATTCATGCTATTTATTTTGCAATATTGTGTTGATCTCTGTGATTGGTCATAGTGATCACTTGGTACAGACAGGGCTAATCACAGCCCATCTGTACCATGTGATCGCTGTGGCCAATCACATGACAGCTAATCATAGCCCCCATCTGTACCATGATATCAGCTGTGGCTAATCACAATAGTAAACACTGAATGCATCAATTTCATTCAGTAAAAATGGTTACTCATAAGAGTGAAATTCAATGGTAAAAGCAATCATAATGTGTAATAATAATAATAATAATAATAAAAAACAAAATCCTGATGACTTCTCCAGAGTAGTATAATGTGACTATGTTAACATTGCTAATAATAACAAAACCTTGCGAGCTGCTATGTGCAAAATAAAATAAAATGTAAAAATAAAACATCAGTGAGCTGCATACACTAATGATACTCTCATAACCAGTACGTGATATAAGAGCAATTATTTCATGCAGTGCGCGCTTCGCTTCTCCTATCCACTGTCACATGAAAATATACAATTATAAAAATGCAATGCTCCAAAACAGGAAAAATATATGTGCATAATAAACGGGAATGTCCACTTTCAGTCTTCTTTGTGCCAGAAAATCAGGATCCTCTTCACAATAAGCCTCTAGATGCCACCACCTCTGTAGTGCCACATTATTATTATTATACAGGATTTTTTATTATTATTATTATTATTATTATTAATATTATACAGGATTTATTATTATTATTATACAGGATTTTTTTTATTATTATTATTATTATTATTATTATTAATATTATACAGGATTTATTATTATTATTATACAGGATTTATTATTATTATTATTATTATTATTATTATTATACAGGATTTATTATTATTATTATTATTATTATTATACAGGATTTATTATTAATATTATTATTATTATACAGGATTTATTATTATTATTATTATTATACAGGATTTATTATTATGATTATTATTATTATACAGGATTTATTATTATTATTATTATTATTATACAAGATTTATTATTATTATTATTATTATTATACAGGATTTATGGCGCCAACAGTTTGCTCAGCGCTGTACAATATAACGGGAGACAATACAGCAACAATACAGTTCAGGAATAGGAGGGCCCTGCCCATGGAGCTTACAATCTAAAGGAAGGGGACCCATGTAGGACCAATGCCCTGTGCTGTCACCTGGAATATATGTATTGCTCTGATCAGCGTGTTAAAAAAAAAATCTTTAAAAAAAAGAAACAAAATGTAAAATAAATAGTTTTTTTTCTTCCGCATATTGTCTTCACCAGTCAGTGTCTCTGATCAACACCACACCAGCTATATGAGGACGCTGTACTACACTGGTGACAGCATGAAAAAAAATTGTGAAAAATCTATTTTTTTTTTTTAAATTGCTTCATTTTCCAAAAAACTGCCAAAAAAATGTACAACTTCAAAAAACTTGCCACGCTTCTTACTATATACCACAGGCTGTGTACTTTCCAAAAATTTGGGGGGTATTTTTACTGTCCTGACATTTGGGGGGATTTGCACTGTCCTGACATTTGGGGGGATTTGTACCATCCTGACATTTGGGGGGATTTGTACCATCCTGACATTTGGGGGGATTTGTACCATCCTGACATTTGGGGGGATTTGTACCATCCTGATATTTGGGGGGATATCTGTACTGTCCTGACACTTGGGGGGATTTGTACTGTCCTGACATTTGGGGGGGATTTGTACTGTCCTGACACTTGGGGGGATTTGTACCGACCTGACATTTGGGGGATATCTGTACCGTCCTGACATTTGGGGGGTATTTGTACTGTCCTGACATTTGGGGGATATCTCTACTGTCCTGACATTTGGGGGATATCTGTACTGTCCTGAGATTTAGGGGGATATCTGTACTGTCCTGACATTTTGGGGATATCTGTACTGTCCTGACATTTGGGGGGATATCTGTACTGTCCTGACATTTGGGGGATATCTGTACTGTCCTGACATTTTGGGGATATCTGTACTGTCCTGACATTGGGGGGATATCTGTACTGTCCTGACATTGGGGGGATATCTGTACCGTCCTGACATTTGGGGGGATATCTGTACTGTCCTGACATTTTGGGGATATCTGTACTGTCCTGACATTTGGGGGGATATCTGTACTGTCCTGACATTTTGGGGATATCTGTACTGTCCTGACATTGGGGGGATATCTGTACCGTCCTGACATTTTGGGGGATATCTGTACTGTCCTGACATTTTGGGGGATATCTGTACTGTCCTGACATTTGGGGGATTTGTACTGTCCTGACATTTGGGGGATATCTGTACTGTCCTGACATTTTGGGGGATTTGTACTGTCCTGACATTTTGGGGGATATCTGTACTGTCCTGACATTTGGGGGATTTGTACTGTCCTGACATTTGGGGGATATCTGTACCGTCCTGACATTTTTGGGGGATTTGTACAGTCCTGACATTTGAGGGGTATCTGTCCTGTCCTGACATTTGGGGGGATTTGTACTGTCCTGACATTTGGGGGGATTTGTACTGTCCTGACATTTGGGGGATTTGTACTGTCCTGACATTTGGGGATATCTGTACTGTCCTGACATTTGGGGGATTTGTACTGTCCTGACATTTGGGGATATCTGTACTGTCCTGACATTTGGGGATATCTGTACTGTCCTGACATTTGGGGGATATCTGTACTGTCCTGACATTTGGGGGATTTGTACTGTCCTGGCATTTTCGGGCTTCAAGATCAGCTGTCAGTACATCAGAATTGATCGATTTTCAGAAATATACACCCTTGGTTTGTGGACTCTATAACTTTCCTACAGACTAAATAATGGTTTGATACAGGAATGTTATACTATGTGATTTTAGTGTATTTAGTGAATGTCACTTTTTTCACATTTTTGAATTTCCCGCCAGTTCCGTCCCCCGTACGCCCCGAGGTCGCAGGGACCGGAACCTGGAAGATGGATGCCGGCATCGGCCGGAGGACATTACAGGGGACACTGCAGGGGGGACATTGCGGGAGCGCAGGACAAGGTAAGTGCTGGAGGGATCCCAGAGAAGCACTGCAGTGTATTCCCGAGTGTAGCTCGGGGGGGGTTACCGCTTGTGGTGCTGAAACTTTAACCTGAGCTACACTCGGGAATACCTCCAGGGGGGTTAACAACACCCCGAAATCGTTCTGCGATGTGCAGAATCGGATTGCATAGGTGTGAATACGCGTGCGATCCGATTCTAGTGCGGACCCAAAAAAGGGTCCTGCACCTTTTTGGTGCGAGTTGGTGCGATTGGTGCCATACATAATGTACGGCTCCAATCGCACCGCACACAAATCACATGTGACTTGCACAGGAATGCGGTGCGGTTCCTGTGCGAATCACATGTGATGTGATGTGAGTGTGAACCCAGCCTTAACCACTTCAAGTCCCCCCCTTCCTGCCCAGGCCAATTTTCAGCTTTCAGTGCTGTCACACTTTGAATGACAATTGCGCGGTCATGCAACACTACTGTACCCATATGACTTTTTTAGCTTTATTTTGGTGGTATTTATTCACCGCTGGGATTTTTATTTTTTTTAGCTATATAAATGAAAAAATCCAAAAATTTTTAAAAAAGTGTTTTTCTTATAAAATTTTGCAAATAAATAATTTTTCTTCATAAATCTTGGCCAAAATGTATTCCATTATCTTTTTAGTAAAAAAAAAAATATACCCAAATTAGTTTATAACCAAAAATTATTTTTAAAACTTTTTTTTACATTTTTATTTTATTTTTTTTTATATTATTATTTATGCTTTTTTTTTACATACTGTCACCCTAGCAGTACAGTGTCACCATGGTGACACTGTAATACTTGTGGGGGGGTGATGAAGATTTTTTTTTTTCTTACACTGATTGCTTTTATACCCATAAAGGCTGTAAAAGCAATCATTTCCCCTTCTCTCTGGCTGCATTCTTGCAGCTATTGAGAAATACTGTGTGAGCTGTGATTGGTCACAGCTTGTCATATGGTACAGGGCTGTTGTGAATTGCCATGTACCATGTGATCTCTGTGATCATTCACAGATTTCACACGTAGTAAGCAATGATATCAGAAGTGACATCTTGCTTACTACCCTGCATGTGATCACTGATGGGCCAATCAGTGATCACATGATCGGGACCTCACACAGAGGTCCCATACAGCGATCGGTGTTCCACTGTGTCTGGAGGGCACAGCAGGCACCGGATCGCGGTGCTGCACGCTCCCAGGGAGTGCGCACAAGCAGGGGGCAGGGAAGCTGTTTATAAACGCCACCCGACCCTGCACTGCCCCATCCGGCCATTTATATACAACTGCCAAACGGGAGGTGGTTAACCACTTCCCGACCGGCCGTTGCATATAAACGGCCGGATGGGGCAGTGCAGGGTCGGGTGCCGTTTATAAACAGCCTCCCACACCCTGCTTGTGCGCGCTCCCTGGGAGCGCGCAGCACCGCGATCCAGTGCCCGCTGTGTCTTCCGGACACAGTGAGACACCGATCGTCGGACGGGACCTCTGTACGAGATCCCGATCATGTGATCACTGATTGGCCAATCAGTGATCACATGCAAAGTAGTAAGCAAGATGTTACTTGTGACATCATTGCTTACTACGTGTGAAATCTGTGAATGATCACAGAGGTCACATGGTACAAGGCTATTCACAAAAGCCTTGTACCATGTGACAAGCTATGACCAATCACAGCTCACTCAGTACATCTCAATGAGTGCAAGAATGCAGCCAGAGAGAAAGAGAAATGATTGCTTTTACATCCTATATGGGTGTAAAAGCAATCAGTGTAAAGAAAAAAAAAATAAAAAATCTTCATCACCCCCCACAAGTAGTACAGTGTCACCATGGTGACTGCTAGGGTGACAGTATATAAAAAAATTAAATAAAATAAAAAATAATAATATAAAAAAATTAAATAAAAATGTGAAAAAAAATGTTTAAAAATTATAATTTGTGGTTTTAAACTAATTTGGATTTTTTTTTTTACTAAAAAGATAACGGAATAAATTTTGGCAAAGATTTATGATGAAATATTATTTATTTGCAAAATTTTATTTAAAAAAAAACACTTTTTTTCAAAATTTTTGGACTTTTTCATTGACATAGCAAAAACAATAAATATCCCAGCGGTGAATAAATACCATTAAAATAAAGCTTTATTTGTCTCAAAAAGATGGTAAAAAATTAATATACGTACAGTGTTGCATGACCACGCAATTGTCATTCAAAGTGTGATAGCGCTAAAAGCTGAAAATTGCCCTGGTCAGGAAGGGGGGGAAAGTGTCCGGTCTGGAAGTGGTTAATATAAGGGCACTTACCTCTCCGGGAGTCCAGTGTTGTCCTCACCTGAGCCGATTCTTCAGTCGGGTTCCTGGCGCCGGCATCTTCAGTAAAGGAAACTGGACGGGAAGGTTTGCAACTTCACAGCCGGTTTCCTATTTCGCATGCGCAAAGGTAACAATGTAACTATACAATTAGTATGATACCTGAAGTGGTTAATTAGTGACATCATAATGTTAATTAATCAGATACCAATTTGCAAATATTGTGTCAGTCCGCCGAAATGGTTCTGAGCGTGGAGTCAACAGGTCCTCTTTTACATGAAAGTGGAATTCACGTGATGAGAGATATCGGAGGAGAATTGACATAAAAATGTAAATAAAAGGCGTGTAATGTATGGAAATGAAATCCATTCCAACGGAGAATTTACATGAAGCCTCTCTGTGTTCCCGAATAATGAGATTCATTCTAATCTTTTCATTTAATGTATTCCATACAAGCCGGAGCCAGACGAGGAGAGCCATCAGAAATAATTATACAATGAGTGCAAGGTGAGCTCTGACACACACACACAGACACGGGCCAATCCATAAATCAACAGAGCTTCACCGAGTCTGCAATGCAGATAACAGAGGAAAGGTTGGGGGGGGGGGGGGATAAAAATATTTATTTAAAGCTGAACTCCGAACACCAAAAAAATTAATTTACAGCGCTCAGCATAGATGGCTCCACCCCCTAAGATTTCAAATCAATATCTCAATGAACACGAGAACAATTTCCAAAATTTGGACAAAACTGAGTTTTATAGAACATTTGTTCGGCTCATAACAGGAAAGAAAGGTTCATAATAGAACTTTGATGACAAAATCTTCCAATTTACTCCAATTAGTTGATGCAAAAATGAATCCCCCCCCCACAACAAGAACTCCTCCATCTAGTATTCTGTAGGACCTCCATGATTGGCAAGGACGGCACCAAGTCTTCTGGGTATGGAATGGACAAGTTGGGCAGCACAGTGGCTAAATGGTTAGCACTTCTGCCTGGCAGTACTCAGGTCATTGGTTTGAATCCCAACCACGGCACCACCTTCCTGGAGCTTGCATGTTCTCCCTATGTCTGCGTCGGTTTCCTCTGGGTACTCCGGTTTCCTCCCACACTGGCTAGGCCACTCCAGAACCTTGATATGCTTCTTACGGAGCCACTCCTTGGTTCTCCTGGCTGTGTGCTTCGGGTCGTTGTCATGTTGGAAGACCCAGCCACGACCCATCTTCAATGCTCTGACTGAGGGAAGGAGGTTGTTGCTGAAAGTCTGGCTCACCATAAATGGCCCCATTCATCCTCTCCTTAATACAGTGCAGTCGCCCTGTCCCCTTCACAGAAAAGCACCCCCAAAGCATGATGTTACCACCCCCATGCTTCACAGTAGGGATGGTGTTCTTGGGATGCAACTCATCCTTCTTTTTCCTCCAAACACGACGAGTGAAGTTTAGACCAAATGTTCTCCTTTGGCCTCATCTGACCACATGACTTTCTCCCATGCCTCCTCTGCATCATCCAGATGGTCATTGGCAACCTTCAGACGGGCCTGGACATGTGATGACTTGAGCAGGGGAACCTTCAGACGGGCCTGGACATGTGATGACTTGAGCAGGGGAACCTTCAGACGGGCCTGGACATGTGATGACTTGAGCAGGGGAACCTTCAGACGGGCCTGGACATGTGATGACTGGAGCAGGGGAACCTTCCGTGCAATGCATGATTGGAAACCATGACGGCGTAGTGTTCTACCGACAGTGACCTGTGAAACTGTGGTCCCAGCTCTCTTCATGTCAGTGACCAGCTCCTCCCTTGTAGTTCTGGGCTGATTCCTCACCTTTCTTATCATCAGTGATACCCCACGAGGTGACATCTTGCATGGAGCCCCAGTCCGAGGGAGACTGACAGTCGTCTTTAGCCTCTTCCATTTTCTAACAATTGCTCCAACAGTTGATCTATTTTCACCAAGCTGCTTGGCAATTGCCCCGTAGCCCTTTCCAGCCTTGTGGAGGTCCACAATTTTGTCTCTGGTGCCTTTTGACAGCTCTTTGATCTTGCCCATGGTAGTAGTTGGCATCTGACTGACTGTGGGGTGGACAGGTGTCTTTAAAGAGCTCAGACAGGAGCTACTATGTTAGATGAATGAGTGGAGTAGAGGGGGACTTTGTAAAGGCGCAGTAACAGGTCTTTGAGAGCCAGAATTCTTGCTGTTTCTCAGGGGGTTCAAATACTTCTGTTCAGCAGTGCGAGACAAATACATTCTTTACAAATCATACAATGGGATTTCCTGAATTTGTTTTTTAAATTCTGTCTCTCCGAGTGGGAATGCACCTACAATGTGAATTTCAGACCCCTCCATGATTTCTAAGTGGGAGAATTTGCAAAATCACAGGGGGTTCAAATACTTCTGTTCCTCACTGTATACATATATTCCTCAATAGCCACAAAGGATATAAATACACTTTTTGTGCACCAAATGGCTTTGCACACCGAGAAATTACCCCATAAAAGTAGAGGTGACATCACCACTGTGCTGTACATAGCCTGTGCAGAGAGAGGAGCTGTGGGAGGGAC